ATTGTCGAGGAGTAAGTGCAAAAGCCACTGCCTGAGACTTCCAAACGCATGACTCAGAGGGCGCCACGAGTTTGAAGCCTCACAATCACTCCGCCCTCATGCAGTACCTCTGGCAAGGGTCTGAATTCAATATGATACCGGCTGGCTTTTGAAGGCCTTCAAGCCTTTGCAAGTAGGCGAAGGCTTGGGTCTTCCAGTCTGAGCAAAGGTTCGTGGAGCCATGTCTCACCAAAATGCAGGCCAGCTGCATGGGGAAGTTTTGATTTTAATCTCTAAGCTTCGAGGCGATTTTCATGAACAGCTTTGAATTCAGAAGCACTTTATTGGAGAAGGCGGCGGTCTTTCCACCTATACTTAATCATAGGCCTTCAGATGTTAGCTGGTTTGATGTGCCTGGTGGGCCAATAGTGGCTCCGGGATTTCTGGGGGTGCGGGTGTTGCGGCTGATAGGGTCAATCCTAGACTGTGAGATATACGCTTTTGCCCTGACGTGGCGCCCTGAATTTTCGTCCTTCTGTGCGTGATCCCCTCACATCCATCAAATACGAGTTCTGGTACCTTCCAGCCCCCCACCCCTCCCCGTCCCAAAACAAACAAAGAGGCTGATTCACAAACATGTCGCCAAACCTGCCTTCAATACCTCTCTGCGCAACGGAGTATGTTGTTAACTCACAACTGGACGCGCTGGCATGTGGAAGTTCTGTAAACTGTAGCGGATGCCGCCGACGTGTGCAAAGCGTGGGCGCCTGCCTCTTTGATTGTCATGGGCCGTAGCAAACGTTTGGCCTGTTCAGAGTTCCTTGGAGCATGAACCCACTAGCAACAAACACAGGACAGCATAGGATAGCATAGGCATAGACCTTGAACATCCAGCAGGAAAGCATTATTTGAACCCTACAATCTTGGCGGTGTCTTTTGGCCTGAAGGCCAGGCCGAAATAGACCAAAACTGGTTCCAAGGGCAAACAAGGCTTCAAAACGTTCCGCCTGGATAGTTGAAGATCTTCAGCCCCTAAACAGCCTAAACTCCCAAGCCCCAAGATCTTGAAGCCAGCCGTTCCTAACGTGGCCTGGGGCGAGCTCCTCTGCCTTCAAAGAAAGTGTAGCCACCATTGCCTCTGACAGGTTCTCTGGGACCATGCGCAGCCAATCTTTCGAAAGGCCTCTGTTCAAATGGGTTCAGCAGGGCAGTCGCTTTGCATCGAAATTGCGGGCCTCATTCTTGGAAGAGACTGTAGTCTTGGGACGGGACGTTGTCATTGTGTCTGGCATTCGCCTCAATCACGAGTCATGATTACGATGCCCACTGCTTGTTGTCAGCACTTTGTGGGTCGCCAGGTCTCCAGCATTTCAGCCATAGAACCTATTCTCTTTGCATGCCTCTCCCCAGAAAGCGGCCCAACCCTCTAGGGCACAGGCCCATGATATGAACGAAACTTTTCACAGCTTGTCCAAAGGATGTTATCCAGACGTTGGTAAAAGGTTTCTGTTCGGTATCCGGATCCTCAAGCTGACGCCGCAAGAATGGAACCCTGACTTTGCCTGCCGTCTCCAGCAACCCCGGAATCTGATGATGTTCATGTCTCATTATAGCTCATTTGCTAGTCTCCCAGCCTCGAGAGGTCAACTCACTTCGGGACCTGCAGGTTGCCATCGATGACCCCAAGGACAGGACTCGAACATGATTAGGTTTGGAGGTCCTGCAAGGGTCGTGGGATGGGATGCCATGTGCAGGATGCGCTTGCGGGACCGGCCATTTTCCCTCTTACGTGCAACAACACAACCAATCTGCCGAGGAGATTCATTATCCTGAAAAGTCTTCTAGGGAAAGACTTTAAAGACGCGCTAGGCGCTCCAATACTTCTCGAGGCATGCTGCCTTGAGAGTACCCCCGAAGCAGAAGTATCGACATGCAGTAGCACTGAAATAGAGCGAACAGGCCATGAAAGATATTTTCTGGCCATGCCCGCAGTAGCTTAGAATCTGCTAGTGCCGCTGGAACACGGTTCCGCCTCAATGTTTGACTTGGCTTGCGGGGCAGCCGGAATACGGAATATGCATTGGCAAAAGGAAATTGAAGCAATCACTTCACTGGTTGGGTCAAACTACGTCGCGCAGGACCCTTGAGATTTTCAGCGGCTCAGCCCCTAGGTACATAGAACCTTGATGCAGCGCTCCCGAAGCCTCGCTTGGAGCGGGACCTTTCAATTGTAGCTAAACTGCACATCACAGCTGTTGGTCTTAGACCGTCCCTCGCAGGGCTTTCTTGCTTCCTTGCGGGGCCGCAGCGACGACTTGGGAATCGAGCGGCTTCTCAAGCAATTTCGACAGGAGATTAATAGAAGCGCCATCAGACCGCGCAAAGGTGAGTGGTTGTAACAAGTAAGTAAGTAACAATGGCAGCGTGCCACCAGATGCTCATAGCAAGCAAGGCAACGAGGCAGAAGCAAACTGCAAGAGTTCTAGGGATAGGTATCGGTATGAGGCTGAAGAGTCATGGACTGGCAGTACCGAGTCACTGCAAGGCCTCCGACGATGACCCGACCCAAATAAAAGGCTACTTTGGTTTCATTCATGAGGCTGCTGTCGCCTGCCTTTGTTTGCGTGCGCGTACGCGGTCGCACAGGAAGCAATATAATGAAGCTGGCGGCTCCACGTTATTGGTAGCGATTAAGCAGGCTCTTACCCGAGAAGACGTTTCCTGCTTTACATGTCAGGCGTAGTCCGTGAAGGTTGAAAAGATGGAACCCGATTTGGAGTGAGCCTTGTTTTAAGGGATCCTCGTCCTTGCTTCAAGGTCCCTTCCCCTCGTCAATTTTGCTTGGAGCTGTCGCAACGACACTGTAGGCGCTCTGAATCCAACTTTGTGTAAAGTGCGTTGCCAAAGCTCGAGATCCCATCCTATCCTTTGGAGCCTGGAAATGACCCGTCTAACACGCATAGACATTTCAGAATTTCCAACCACACAATGAAGACAATGTTTGTGATTTAAGGTGGATCATCGCTGAGCTGCGCCCTTCGCTGGAGCCAACGGCCTCCGAACGAGGCACACTCCTCCGCGGTCCACAGGTTGTTTTGAGTCCTATAGTGTAAGACGGGGAACACTCAGGGCTGCTTATAGCTGATAAGCAGCCCTGGGGCCTTGGGTCTACCCAGTCTTATAGTGCTTATACCTTTTACAATCCTGATTGATTAGTGAGCCCGTCTGCGAGTTGGCAAAAAAAAGTTGGTCTTATAGCAGGCCTTGGGTGGCCAAATTGGTTTCAAACGGAGGGGTGTTTTTTACAACAAACCCCCTTGGCGACAGGCCCGATACAGTGGTTTTGAAACAAGAAGGGGCTGTGACAGGGGTTTGAAACAGGCAGTTTCTAACAGAGGGCAGGCCACGCAAAGGGGAGTTCGGCCCACGTCTAGGTTGAAGTCTCTTGATCTGCTAGTGCAAACCTGTCAAGCAGCAAACGCATTATGTTAATGATGCAGATGATAGTGACAGCACTGTTCGCGAGTGGTCATACTTATGCGTGCTTTTGCTGCCGCCTTGAGTTTTCTCGTAGTAGTGCCGTAGGGGTACCGCGAATACAGTTTTCAGCAAGGAAGTCGAGGGCAGTTAGACTTAGACCACAGTAACCCTCATTTTCCCTTGTTTTTCTGGAAGCGGCTCGTTGCATGTTCCTTAGTTCTTCGACCTCGGACCCGTTTAAGGGCCATAGCACCTGGGCAGGTCTCTTCTGGGACGACATGGAGACTGTTCTGAAGCTCCCTGCTGGTACTTAGATAAGCTTTCTTGGTTTTCGCAGTTCATTGTTTTAGCAGGTTTCGTGCTTTCAGAAGCCAGGCTTAAAGCCATGCTAGGAAGGCAGTGGTGTCAGTTGGAGCTGCAGGGACAATGGGTTAGGCAACAGCAGCAACGGCCCGGGCCTCCAACTGGATAGGAAGTGGTGCACATGTCACCATAAACTTCAGCCTCTGTCAGTTTTAGCGTGCTTCGGTGTTGCAAGCCCAACATACAACGGCACCGGCGTTGTCCAAACTTAAGGTTCCATAGTATACTTCTGAAGATGAAGACCCTCGACATACGGACTCCGGAAAAAAGCCTCACACATGTGATTCTGAGAACTAGACGCATGGCCAGTTACTCAAAATGAGGGATGTCTTCCGTGGTTGGGTCCCAAAATAGAAGTCATCGGAATGACCCGGTCACAGCTCAAGAGCCTCAGGGCGTGCAGTCGGAAAGAGTTGAGCAGCGCCAAGGAGGACCGATGTAATTTTTCTGCTCCAGCGGGTAGGTTTCAACATTTGGGCATGCCTCAAGCTCACGGACTCCTCCTAAACTTCTGACAAGTTGGCCTACATCTTAACAATGAGGCTTCAGAGCACGTGTCAGCGCTTCTTGTTTTATGCTAGCTTTTCAATAGCTTATCCGACTTGTGTCGTGTTTAGGTGCCCAAGCAGAAATTGTCCATTGAATTTTAAATCAAACGGAAGCTAGAGCCAAATCTATGGCGTAGCAATGCATCACACATAGAAATGGACAAGTTTGGGGACGAGTTGAAGCATGGTAAGGCTGCCCTCCTCTCCTCCCTTGTAATCTCTTTGCGACCATACGTAGTCAAGCTCATGATGCATCTTATGGAGGTGAAGAAAAGTTAGTTTTACTGTTGGAGGGCTGCCGGCCCACCATTCGCCTGTGCACGGACCAAGCGTTTGGCTTTCGGTGCTTGAGTGTCAGAACTATGAGAAAATTGGATTGTAAAAGCGCTACAGGCAGATACAAGTGATGAAGCTTTTCAAAGATAAGAAGCAGGGAAAGTTCCATGATGAAATGTCCCTCATTGACTATGTACTTTTCCCTCGGGGCAAGCTTCACGATAGATGTGCCCTAATGGCCCAAACTATCAATCACAGAAAATGTTGCGATAAAAGTTCGCCAGTGTATCAAGCAGGCAGAATTCCAGAACTCAAGGTCCCCATTTGTTCTGGTGCGCCGCTGGGCTTGAAGCCATGGCATCACCGCGGGATCTGGCGCTTGCTGCATTCTTCGGAGCCTCCTCCGCGACAGCGCTGGCCGTAGCGCTGATGCGGCGATATCTTAGAAGCTGGGAGGTGTACTTGGAAAGCGCGTTTAGGTGTAAGGAGGGTTCTCAGGCTTATGCAGATAGATGACTGATGTATAATGGTGTGGGGGCAACCCTTTGGACATGCATGATGGAAAAAAACACAACGAACACTTGGGGGTTTGGTCGATTTCTGAGTACCGATTGACATCGATAAGGGAAGGGTAATCCTTCGGCTCTCGGCCAGAAAAATCTAGAAATGAAGTAAAACTAACAAGGAGAGGGGAGGGAATGCAGTAGTTCAGCCTCATATTCACTTTCGTAGAGAATCCAAGTGTGTGCGAGGGAGAAGGAGAGAAGGAGGAAGACATAGACCGAGAGAGGGGGAGAGAGCAAGAGACGGCTTGTTGCATTGGTTTGCCTTGACTGGTAAGGGCAATACCCCGGGCAAAATAACCGGGCCTTTCTGACACTGGAGCAGGTTGAGGTGTTAGTGTGAGCACCGCACTGCAGCATTCTAGCCCCGGGCTTTGCAATGTTGAGCTGTGAAAGGGCTCACGAAAAGGGTGCAGTATTGTCGGATGAAAGCTGAATGGGTGTGAACGGAAGGCCCAGTAGGGAAACTGTAAAGGGGCAAAAACCTTCTTTCAATGATCCCTGAAGATGTTCATGTCTGAGGAGATGAGCTGCGTGCCGCAGTTCTCTTTCACTCGCCCGTGGACGAGCAGCACCCTGAGGATTTCCCAGGGTGATCAAGGATATTTCAGAGGTCGCTTCAAACCCTTAGCGCGTGCGGATGTGTTCAGAGCATGCAAGTGTGAGGCAGGTCAAAGAGAAGGCAGCCCAGCGTACAAGAAGAAATAAGTACGCCTTTAATGGCCCCACACCATTCCTCAGATGCTTGATCTTGCAGATCCCGCATCACATTTTACGTTTCCCTTCACGCCTAGAATCTTCTAGATGTAGACTGCGCGATGGCATCTTCTTCAAAGATGCTGCCTTGAGGGCACTGTCCACAAGGATATACTCGCCCCTGGCATACAGACCGCAGCCAGAGGATCAGAGGCTGCTGCAGGAGGTCAAGCTCCTGATGAGAGACTACTGGCCCATGGCCTGATTTCGCTCAGGGTTGAGGGCTTCAGGTTGTGAGGCAGTCGGGGGTGGTGACTTCAACCAGCAGTTGGGTGCCTGCGGTGGTTTCGCGATCGTGTACACCATAGCCATAAGCCAGTACTGGAGTACACCATAGCCAGAGCCCAGTATGGTGCAAGTAATTAGCAGAGGTCAGGAAACGCTTGGAACGGTCATGAACATGAAAGCAAGCATGGTGCCGGAGGCTGCTCCCCACTGGCTTCTTTCCTCCTTAGTAAGTACCAGGCCAAAAAGCCCCCTAAATGCTGAAGGCAAATCCAGACTCTTACGAGACATAGAGCGTTCATACATGCCTGCTAGTAATAACCCCGCCACCTGGTAATCCCCATAAGATAACATTTGGCTCTGTAAGGGCTTCCTTTTTAAAAACATTTGTTCACGTCTGTTATGTCAAGGCCACACCCCATTCTGGAGTTCAGCGGCTACGTCTCGACAATGTATAGCAGCTTCTGGGCAGTCTCTTTGTCCAAAGATTAGGATGTAGTTTGAAAGGTTCAGGCCTGGAGGCTCTGGATTTACTGTGCCTTCGCCTGCGATTTTGGGGGACCCAAGGTCATGCCTTCTATGCAAAAGCTGGGGCACATGGAGGTTCTGGACTTGTCTGACGGAGGCGCGAGCATGTCGTCCGCTGGCTGTCGAGTTTCAATTCGCTATCTACCCAGTACAAGACTTTTATGAGAACCCGCCGCGATTTTGCGCATGTGCCTGCAAATCATCTGCAAGGTGTTTAGGCAAAGTTAGATGTCTGGCAGAAGGATTGCTTGTCCCTAAACCGCTGCTGTCATCAGGTATCATGTCGCTGCACTGGTACGAGCCTCCGCTGATCGACAAGGGAAAAGTGGCTTGGTGCCATCAATGTATGCAGATACTCCGAACTTGGTCCCGATTTGGGGTTCCTTACAATCCTACAAACTGAAATATCAAATCGCCTAAGGGGTACGTCAGCGGGGGCCTTCGCAAAATGCTGTTGCATGGGCCAGGTGCTTGCTAAGACACGACTCCAAGAAGAGACCTTTACTTCAAGACACCCTAGACCTAATGCAGGGTCCTGCATAAGCAACACTCTCGTCCTTGAGTACCTGGAAACCCAAGATTGTTTTTCGTTCTGGTGCGGAACTTGTAGCACGGTCAGGAGTAGCAGGGCAAGGGTTCTCCACTGTAAGAAAGCTGTGCAGACCAACGCTTTCCTTGGGCAATAGTTTTCTTTCCGTAAGTACTGTTGATGCTGGTTGCAGGCTGTATCGAGCTTTCCCAGTACCACCATCTTAGGCTACACGTTTCAACGTGTATGACGTTTTAGGGTAAGAGGTTTGGCCAAGCCTGGAAAGCTTATGACACCCCTGCACGCATGAGCCACCACATGATGTTCTGCATGTACCATCCTGTCTACAGGTTGTGTTGGCCCCCTTCCAGCCACCCCTAGTCAGTCGCAAGCTGCACGTCATCCATTCCCATGAGAAACCCAGGCAAAGTGGCAAAACAGTCCTGCCAGCGTACATACGGCAAGTTCAATGTCCCTTGCAACATCCAAGAAACCAGCTCCCGGGTGCAGGGCTGCATGCCTGATTATGCGTGCAGAAGGCAGAAGTGCACCTGCAGCCACGTGCCTTACGGCAAGTACGGCGTTCATTCTGCCAAGACTACTTGGCCTGTGTCGTCCAAGTCTTCTATCTTTCCACCTCACGTGTTGAAGGGTCACACACGTACCATGGCAGTAAATCAAGTGGTCCCCCAACACACATTTCGAAAGTAGGCAACTGTACAGGAAAACCCGAGTAACTCATGCATCCAGCCCAGGTGGTCGTTATCTTACCTGGCCTCAACAACGACACCTGCTTCAAGCTGGAAGAGATGCATCTAGTGTGGGACTGAAGTAAACTTGGCGGGAAGAGGAGGTGTAGGAGTTGTGATGCTGACATCTGGCGTGTTTTGGAAGAACCTTTCGGATATAGAGATTTGAGCAGCTGAGCTTTGCACATGTGGGAAGTAAGGACAGCCGAACCAGCTTCATCCAGAGCGCCATGCGGTGCTTTGGCTTACAAGACGAGTCTGAGTGGAAGTTCCTCAAGTAACAAGGTCAGTGGCTGTGCATTGCAGATCGGCTGTGGTGTACAGGCGCCACATTGCGAATAAACCCTGTAGCGGCCGCCAAAGAGCAAGAGAATCATTTCGAGACTGACATTTTTGGGGCAGGCAGAAGTTAAAAGTCAACTCAGTTTGAACCAGCTGGTGCTTGGTCTTGCAGGGATGGTGACACATCGCGACGGTGTTGAAACCCTTTTAAAATTGACGTGACATGTGCAGGCTGTAGGCTCCACTGTGAGTGTTGGATGCATCAAGTCGCATTTGAAAATCGTAGATGGGCCTCAACACCACGGTCCGCACACCCAAGGCACTTCCGCAGCAACGGCTTTCAGGCACGGCCAGCGTTGTTTTCAAGGATAGCCTTTTCCTTGTTCAGGGGTTTGAAGGTGCGTGGCGTTCGTTTTGGGGCTAGAATCGCCTGATACAAGCAACTTTCTTTTACTAGAGTGCTGGGCGCTTGCTGATGTGAGTGAATGCCCTGACCTGCTCAGTGCGGGATGCTGGAGGGTTGCAACAAAGCAACTTTCTTTTAACAGTCCTCTACTCTCTAGACAGCGGCAAAACTAGAAATTCGATGATTTCATCTCCATCAGTTGGCAGGCCGTCGCCTTGAATTACCGGGGCCTGGCGGGCCTGGAGCTGAAGACCTCGAAGGCAAAACTGATCCCCACCCTGACATTACAACAGAGGACGGTAAAATATGAAACCTGAAGGGCGTCATCGGGTCTACCAGATGTATAATTAGGTAGGCTTGGGGTGCACGGCTGCGAGCTTGCAAGTCCCGATTTTCCGGTTTCAATCTTGGACCTGCTGAGGAACACTTCTTCCTTTCTTGGTTGAAGTTGCACACAATGTGTTAAATCGGCACAGATGAGCAAAAGAGGCACAGTGATACAACATTCCCCACACCTTCGTGCTTCACACGGGTATGCCTGACTATTCTACAGATTCTACAGTTGTGTAGACGTGCAGGGGAAATTTTCAAAGTCTGGCCAGAGATGAACTGTTTGCGTTTGTTCTTAGATGCAACGCAGCTTCGGGCATGGTTTTTGTGTTCTTCTTGTGGTTGTTCCACAGTTCCGCATCCTGTGCTGGTGCAATTTAGGTTGAAGTCTGGCAGTCTAAGCTGGCTTGAAGCCTCAGAGGCATCATTATGTCAGTTTTCCGTGTAGCTGTACTGACATTCCGTTGGAGAAGCCGAAACGTTGCGGACTGAAGTTATGCCACGAAGGTCTGGGCCCAAATACTGAAGGCTCCCATTGTTCAAACCCTTCAGCTGCATCATTATGTTTGTGAGCGCCTCCAATCTGCTGGATTCTGTCGAGACTAGCCTGTCAGGTACCGAAGTGCCTTGCTCATTGCGAACAAAAAGCACGTTCTTTGTTGTTGGGCAGTCCAAGGGGGCAAAATACCGCAGAAGCATTGAACACTTGTGGTTCGTGCTGTTAGCGCCCAATAGATCCCAACAGTCAGATCTAATGTGGGCCTTTGATATTTGCCATGCTCTAGACCCCGGCTTCTGCAAGCTGCATGCAGTGGAAGGTTGCTTGTGCAGACTGCTTCCGCGACATGCCAGATGTGGAAGCGCATCTTGCGAAGGCTGCCAGGAATTCTATTACTTCGTTTCGGTTATGAGTAATTACTTCGCAACACTCAACTCACTCAACTTATGAGTTCTGCTGCTACAGTTTCGTTTGCGGGGCTTGCAGGGCTTGAGTGCCGGCCATACTGGACAGAGCATGGTGCCAGCAATGCCTTCACTTTTGCAGGTGTGTCCCGGGGCGGAATTCTCGGCCGTGGGCTTCTCCATGGGTAGCCCGGCATGCCTAGGTAGAGCTTCTGGAGCCCGGTCCACTCGTTGAGAATAGAGAATTCGAAAACGGCAAGCCCTGTATGCTACAGAAAGCCGGGCACCACTAGTAGTCCCTAGACTGGCTGGGACTTAATTCCTTCAACTTGAGCACTTTATGACTTTTGGGGGGTTCCTTCAGTCCATTAATTTAGGAAGCTAAAAGTAATATTTTTCGTGGAGGACAAGGAAGGTTGTCAAGTAGGGCTTTCAGCTTTGCATTCCAGAAATGTTCTGGCCAACGTCTGGAAGGTTCAATAATTTCCCGAGAATATGAAGAAGCTCCTTGTGGACCCATCTACGCATGTGGTAGTTACCCCAATATAGACCCTAAAAGTCACTACAACACGAAAATCCTTATTACGTGGACCCCCTCATTATGGGAAGCCCCTATCAACCATTAAAACGTACATCATATACATGGTGTTGTGTCCCGTGTTAACAGCCCCATGGTCCCCTGACCGCCAGCCCAGGACTCTCAAAAGTGTGAACAGTCACAGGGATTGTGGTGTCCAGGTCGTGATCCGCGCAACTGTCCCCTTTTTTATGCCTCGCAGGGGCCATTCTCATAACTGTCATCGGTCTGTGATGTCAAAGATCTCAAGTTCCAACAGTCGCAAGGATTGTGAATGTGTTGGTCACAAGCCTCGTAACTGTCACCGTTTTTGATGTCGCAGATGTCAAAAGATCTCCAGAGTGCCAACTGTCACAGTGATGGTGGGTGTCCTAGTCACATTCCTGGTAACTGTCCAATTTTTGATGTCGCAAATCTCAAAAGTGTCAATGCTCACAAAGATGGTGTTTTTGATGTTGCAGATCCCCAAAATGCCAACAATCACAAGCATGGCGCATGTCCACCACCAGCCACCAAGCCACAGAGGAGGAGGATCTGCTTGCCCTCTCAAGCATGCAGGTCTTGATGCTGCAAAGTGACAGTCACTTTACCAGAATGCTGGCAACTGTGGGACATTGTACCAAGACCATCCCATGGTGGGGGGGGGAAGGCTGGCCAGCGCTGCACCATGTCTCCCTATAGGACCCTATATATCCCTATATACCCCTACATCACCCTATATATCCCCTATATAACCCTATATATCCACTATATATCCCATAGAAACCCTTTTAAGTAGCAACGCGTACGTTTCATACACTGAAGTCCAAGGCCCGGCTGTGTCAAGGTTTGTTTGGATTTTCAGGGTCCTTGACTAACTGGTTAAGGGAATAAAGGAGTATACTGGGGTTATATAGGGATAGTGGAAAAGAAGTTGGAAACTACTACATTAGAATAGGGTATACATATATCATATATATATACAGGTAGATAGATATGGGGTAAAATAGTAGGGAAGATGGGAACCGATTGGATAGGGATTATGTAGGGATTACATTCCCTCATTATTCGCTACTAAGAACCAGTAAGTTGACGTTTTTTTGGCTCATGGGGATAGTTGACTGGTATACGCTTCAACTCGTGCCAAATGCTGGGGAGCAGAAGCTGCAGGTAATCAGATCATGAAACTGCTCTATGAAGGTATAGTCCCTTTGGGTATGTTATAATAAGATTCCCGTATACCCCCCATATTCTACCTACTTACGGGGAACTATAGTTCAAGAGCTGGCTCCACGCTGTAATTTGTAAGCGGCTGCAGAATGCCGACTTGCAGTTTCTGTGGGAATCTAGCTGCATTTGCTAATAGGTTCAAGACGCGATAAAAGACATTGGCAATCATAGACATGGTGGCTATTTGCTTCCAATTAGGTCCCTCGCTCATGACCACAATGAGGTAAGTCTATCAGACTGGGATATGTGGTATGAGGTCAGTCCCGCAAGCAAGGATGCCTTGGGTCCCAAACAAGAAGTAACGCTAAGCGCATGGAAACTTCTCATCAGGAACTATCCCTCTTAATCCGTTGGTACGGGTCCAGCCGCATCGCTGCTAAGGTGGAAGCATTCTTCTTCGCCACCTGGGCGCAGTGGGCGCGAAGACGCCGCTAGGGATGGAAAGCAGTGACAATCAGGTTTGCCGTTTGTCGTAGTGTTGATCGTGTTCAGAGCTTAGAGCTTGAGAGGGGTAGTTAGGCTTGTCTGTACAATGCGTCAGAATTGCAGCTTCACAAAAAAGGCAAGAAGGTTGCCACTGGGACCACCTGCCGATGCCCAAAAGCAACATCATGCTTGCAAGGCTACCGTTTCGTCAAGCATCCAGAGTGCAGTGTGCATTTAGCTAGCCAAAATTCAGCAGGATGCGTGCGTGTCCATGGCGACATATGCGACATGCGTACCGGGGATGCAGGCATGCACACAGGGTCTGTTGCAGCCAAGGGTCTTCTCCTCGGCTGTCACCGTTGCCGCTCCGGTCGATACTGAGGCCGTGGTGACGTCCTTCAGCTCCAGCACCTCGGGCTGAGTTTTTGTTGTAATGAGTGTCATGTCAAGTCCTACAGATAAGATAGCCAATGGCCGGCAGCGTACCATGACGATTGCGTGCCTTCAGCTGCTCAGGCGCACGCAAAAGGCTCATGTCCTTCATCATGGCGACGGGCGTGAAATTGCTTATGATCCACGAGCTGCGGCGTTCCCAGTTTGCACACCTGTTGAACATGAAGAAGCTGCTGTCAGCTCGAAGTCTCACAGAAATCGACGAGGCCGCGATTTGCCCACTGCACGGTTATGTTAATGCCGCCGACTACCACAGGGCCATTAACCCGCGCCATCACCTCGACAACATCGCAATTCCCACCCTGGTGGTCCACGCAGAGGATGACCCTGTCATAAGCTACACCACCATGCCCTTCCAGGTCCTCCGCAGGAATCCTCGGATCTACGTTGCAGTCACCAAGCGGGGCGGGCACATCGGATGGGGAAGTGGTGGACTCGGGGCTGGAGCCTGGACAGATGCCATGGCTGCACACTTCATGCAAGCAACCTCCTCTACCCGAAGCCGGAACATCGAAGGAACGGGTGCTGTAGGAACAGAAGATCGGCCGTTCCCTTTGACATCGGCCCTATGAGGAGCAGCTTGCTGCCTTTGCTCAGCTGAGTGCCCTCATTCTCTGTTTCTTTGCTTCTATCCAGCCATCAAAGCTGCTAATTTGTACTGCCCAGCCCATTGGGCCAGGGAATGTCGGAGTTCCCTTTCAACTAGAGCTGCAGACATAAGCCCGCTTCATGGGCAACATGCAGTGGCCACTGGTGCCACCCTCTACAGCAGAGGACCCCACTTGGCCGCGGAGAAAAGACCCCACGCCCGATGAGCAGAGAAAAGCAAAAGATGTCAGCTGTCGTGCCTTAGATTGGTGAACCTAGCTGAAGCCTGGCCACCAAATCTAGACTCTATGCTCTGTCTCTGAAAGTTTGCTCTTTGAGCACTGTAATCATTGTATTTCTTGCGCGGTCTGTACCTGTACCTCTCAGGCCAGGCAAGAGCGAAGCTGGCAGTTAGTGTGCGAATGCCTTTGGACATACCAATCAGTCGCGTAGGCTTTGACAAATCTTGAAGTCCACCTCCTTCTTGTTATCCAAACACCAACCAGGGTCCCAGGTCCTGCTCTCAAAGATTGCTTCTGATTTCATCCACTACATGCAGCCCACATGAGACTCAATAGGACGGCCGTCGCTTCCTTGACACGCTGCAGGGCAAAGCGGCTCGACTGCTGATTATAGGGTTAAGTGCACGTTGTTGCTGGACAACTGTCGTGGAAGTACACGTCTTGAGCAATCACTTTAACAGTTAATCTAGCCTTTTGAGAGCAAACATGAGGGCTTGACAGGGTCCCGGCAAGGACCCCCATCCTTGTTTTCGCCTTGGTTCTCGTAACCTCTGGAATGATCACAACGATGATTACGATGATCACCATTCCGTATCGTTCAATTTTATGTCTACAGTTCTCGTTGGCAGACCGCATTTTTGCTCGAATCTTACGTTTCCAGAGGGCAAGAAATGACACAGCTCTCGTTCTAAAAGAAGGGGCCATACCTCAGGGAACTTGTGACCTCCCAGCCTTCTTGCAAGTCTTGACTGCTGCCAGCCGGTGTCCACTTCCAACTTTCTTCAAGCCGCGTCCGCCGAAACTTGCAAGGGCACTCCCTGACTTTGGAAAAGTGCCAATCGTATGGAAAGTTGGTACTGTTCAAGACTCACAGGTCTTAATCACCCTAATCATCGCTTACAAGTCTGTGTAAGAGGAGTGCTCACCAGCTCAAACTGTTGGATTCTGGTGTGGAGAAGCACCGGGAGCATAGTCACAAGAATGGGCAGCTGAAACCTAAACACTCACACGCTTTACCCAGAACCTAGGCCCACTAGACAGCTGCAAAGGGTCGTCTAGCCCTTAATCTTTGCATCTTCGTCTCTAAGCCTCTAAGCCCCAAATTCAAACTCTCCACAAGCTTCATACCCAACCCTTTTTCCTACTTCCAGATGCGGGGCGAGATCGCTCGGTTGCTTGCTGTGGCGCAGCTACGCCGCTGATCATGACTGGTTTACGGCATTCGGTGGCACTTGCAAGTTGAACCTGCAGCACCACATTTGTAGTGCATGCGAGTGGCACCAGATAAACACTGTGGTGGTAGTGGTGTTGGCTGTCTTTGTAGTCTCAGCATGGCAGGCCTGGCCCGCGGGGGGAGCGTCAGCAATAGCAGTAGCAGCGGCAACAGGATGAGTAGTAGTGGGAGTGTGTGCGAGTCGGAATAGGAGGAGTAGTAGCAGCGGTAGGAAGGGAAGCAGGAGCAGGAGCATGGTGGGCTGAAAAGTAGTACCGTTCCGTCTAGAAGGAGCATGATCTTCAACTGTCCATCGTCGCATCACTTGGTAGCAGTGACATCTGGACAGTCTACACCTGGCACGTGAAGCCAACCCGCTTTAAGTCCAAAGACGGCTGATCGTCCAGGTATCTGCAAAGTACTCATCACCAGTCTCGGAGAATGAGCCGCAAGTCTATTGTTTAAGCAGCAGCAGCAGCAGCAGCAGCTACAGGCATCGCAGATATCCCTGTTAGAAGCGAGACTGGCTTTGTCGCCAGCATTCCTGTGTTAGAGTTGCATCCTGCATGGTTTTCCGCAAGTAGACTTTGAATGCCAAGAACAGAATCCCCAACAATCTGTCTCCATTGCTATGAGATCCCATGATGCACCTATTGCCCAGGTGTGCCTCTGCAGCGCGCTCTGCCCAAGGGCATGACATGGAAAGATGTGCTTCCGGCTTTGCTGCAGGCGTTGAGAGATGCAGCAAGACAGCGGAGTGTAACCATTGATGCAGTTTTTGGGCAAGTGGTTATCGTAATTGGATTGGATTTCAGCCGGCAGAAGGACAAACTGGAACAAGCGAAGGTCAGCGCGAGTTGTCGCAACAGTAGCAAGGATTTCAAAGAGTCTCGCTTGATGCATCTTGATGCAGCATCAAGCCACAACTGCGACGTGAATGGCCAAAGGCAGCAATCAGGAAGCCGGCATGGGCAGTCTTCATACAAATTAGGTCAAGGCAGGCAGAAGTTCCGTCGGTACATATTGAACCTTGTACAGCCCCGCATCTAAACTGTAAAGCGCAAATCTAGTCGTTAATCCTCAGACCTACGTTCCTTTCATGCACCCAGGCCCACGCGAAACTGCTCATATGATCTCTGTGCAGGGAAAGCAACCATAAGCAACCTTTAGAAATCCCATTTACATGCAGCTGGTTGTCGGGCGTTTGGTTTCTCGTAGGCCTTCTATGCCTCTCCGAAGAAGAGCTCAAGTGCACGTTGCTTCCCCTGTAGCGCTATCGGAAATTCCTGGCTTCTACCTTTGAACCACGAAACCCTAAGCTCAACCTGAGGCACTCAATTCGTGAACACCAGCCTTAATAGACCTAAAGCCAGTCTACTAATTACTACCACCACCACCACCACGACGACGACGACTACTACTACTACTACTACCACTACTACTACTACTACTACTGCTACTACTACTACTACTACTACTACTAGTAGAAGTACTACTACTGCTACTACTAGTAGTACTACTACTGCTACTACTACTACTACTACTACTCCTTACGAATGACTAGTTACCATTTGTATTACCATATTTAAGCCCCTGCAGATTGACACGCTGAAAGAGCTCCAAAATGCGCGTGAAGCCCCAGATCTGCTCCTTTGGAAGCTGGGCCATGCGCAGGTGGGGCCATGATCAGAACCTGGTGTTCGGTTACAGTCCCCCTTAAGTAGGTGGAATATGGTTTTGGGTATAAATACTATACTAACATCTCCAGATACCCCATATTTTATCTACTTAAGAAGGAATATAGCCATCAAGTATGGAGACCTGTAGACCGCTCCTAGGGACTAGCCTGGCTTATACCATGGCGTCTATAGGAATTGTTCCTGGGGTTACATGCAGATTAATATCCGGGTCACGCAAGTTGGTTCAGGATGTATGCTCTTTTAGACTTGGACTTGACTAGCAAATTACTGAAGCATTAGGGGCTGTTTCTCACTCATTCCTGACACCTGTTTCGGGTGCCCCTGTTACTGTTGGGCTCTTGGTTAAGTTTACCAGGGACCTTAAGTCCAGGTGTCTACTTCTGGCATGTGCAGGTTAGCTTGGGGGATCTTTTATCCACCCTTCCCTAACTAAGATGAGCACCACATAGGCTCTTTCAATTGACGAATGTCTATGAGGAGCCCTTTCTTCATTGTCCATACTCGTTGGGGGCAAGTTGCGTTCATCGGACAAGTTTCAAACAAAGGCCTCTTAAAGCAAAGAACCGTATCCTGAAGGAAAACACGCACACACACACAAACCTACAACTATCAGTACTAATGACTAATACAATGGATACTACATCTTTCCCTGCGCTGCTTCAACATGTCTGCCTGATGCGGATTGGCATTTGGTGGCACCTTCTAGCACAAGTGCCTCCTACCTAGTAGCTTCAGAAGAGACATATTTGGCCCAAAACTGCCACAGCTAATGCGACCAGCGTTACTACACAACTACTATTATGGCTCTTACGACTTCTATTTCTGTTTCTGCTCCTACCCATTAATTCAAGACTGAACCTGAAAGGTGGAGACCTGTAGTGTCTTCTGACTACCATATGTTCGCCCAGGCCCATGCAACCCCAACAAGGCAATAGAGCCCATGGCATGTCAAGTTTCCCTCAACTCTATATCGTAGTTTCGTTTGTTGTCTCCGTTCTTTCACTGCACCACAGGACTGGCCTCCTGCCAGCAGCTACAGCTTCGCTGCGCTCCGGCCCAAGCTGGAGCCGAAGTTGGACCAAGGCTGTCTGCTGTTGGCTTCAGGGACGCAACGCATACAAGAGTAAAGAGGGGCAACGGGACCTATAGAATTTAAGGGCTGATCCTGAGAACTACAGAAGTGCACTTCAGATGCTGGTGAACCTTCCGAGTCAAGTGCAACTACTTTTGATGCCACAGCAAAACGATTCTGATAGTTCAGCTCTTCTTGTTGAGCAGTATGGCAGCAATGCCCATCTGCAATAGCAGAAGTGCGAACATGCCACTCTTTTCCTCCCCAGTGCTTTCAAGGAGTTTATCTCCAGATATGGAGTCTAGGACAAAGCAGGGCTGATACTGACAAATATTTATTCTAAGCTGGGAGCTGCGCATCTTGTGCATGAAGTCAGCTACCTCACAGGTCAGTTAGCCAGGCCTTTGATGTGGCGGTGTCAGTCCAACTCGCAGTGAAAGGTGTGAAGTGTGTCCGTTTCCCACTACATGGGACATGCTAGCTTGCGAGGCATATACTGGGAAGCCGCTCAGCAGAGATGGGAGCAGTGCTCGTGTCTGTTCTCATGTTCATGCGTCACAAAAAGGGCAATGAGGTGTTGGTTGAGACCGGAGGTGGCTGTTTTGAATGGTATTGAATTTCCCTTTCACTATACCTTTCCCCTCTGCGTGGCTATTGTGGATTCCGTTCCCCGACACGTATTCTGTGGTCTTGTCCCCTGTTGGGGCTGGCTAAACTACCTCCATGGAAACTGCCCTTAAACAAGATTATGGTTCAT